AACGTAATAATGTATTAATTTCTTAATAATTTATTTGGTTTGGTATGTTCTTTTTTCTATATGAAGGCATTTTTTGTTTCAGTTTACTGTACAAGTGAATTTATTATTATAATGAATACCTCAAGGAAGACCTATTATTATTATTATGAGTATTTTTGTCTACATCTAAAATCATAAACAGTAGTTTCCACTGGCTTCCGTTAGTTCTGAGAGGGAACTAAAAACGTCTATTTTTATCATTGTCTGCTAATATCAATCAATTTTGTTTACCAAAGAAATCGTAAAAGATATTTTAACAAAAACACCGTTTCTACTATTTAAAATCTGTTTTATTAATATCACACTAATTTATTACAAATGTATGACTATGTCGACTGGACTATCGCGTTTTGAGATCTTGACTAATCATCCGCTGCCGGTCGACTTCCTGCCTGCCCTCGGAGTGGGTATTTATCTTCGAAGCGTCGAGGGTGTCTCTTTGCTACTCAAAATTCTAGTTATGAGGTCGTTACAATATGTTGTGGCAATAATAAAACGCAAAGCTAATGATATCCTTCAATTTAGTGTATGTTTTAGTATTATGGCTAGGTTCCCAAAATTGCCTTCAAAACATTGTACAGTGCAACTTCGATAATCCGGACACATTTCGTACCAAGTAGGATTACCGAAGGATTCGGATAAATGGAATCAATCATTTTTTATATTCTTTTATATCTCATATTCTTTTCTAATTATAAATAAGTCATTTATATATAACAAAATTATTCAAATATAAATTAAACAGCAATAATAAGAACTTAAATACACATTTATAAGTACACATATGAATGAAATAATTTATATAGCACATAGGTAGATAAAAAAAAATATGTAAATTTAAGTGGCTTTAAAAAAATAATCTACTTTTTTCTGAATGGTCTTGGAGGTAGCTGCGTCGCCTGCTTTCTCTTTCACCTTTTTAAGAGCAAAGCTTCGTGCATAAGTAAATCGTTTTCTTCTGCCCACTGAATACCTACTGTTAATGCCTTGACAATATCGCCAAGGTTTTTCTTTAGCCACAATATTTTAATCGTCCGTGTCTAAATAGCTCCTCTTCAGTTAGGTCAATAAAAACTCGTTTTTACCTAATGCCCATTCAACAATTTCTTCCAGGTTTAAGACATTTTCTGGATCTATTTTGCCTCGATTTTCGGCCATACCTTGTTTGCTATCAGTCGGATCTTTTTACGACTGGAGAAGAAGTATAGATGAAAAAGAATGTATTGTAACAGTATTTTTAGACTTCCAAATGGCATTTGAGACTATAGATAGGGATAAATTGTTAATGAAATTGCCTGACTATAGTTTTAAAGGATCAGCAACATTTTACAAAATTATTTAGTAAACATGAGTCAAAAAAGTAAAGTTGTAAATATTATGTCAAGAGGTCAAAATATATCAGTAGGGGTGCCACAGGGGAGTAAATTAGGGCCGTTATTATTTATAAGATGATATCTCAGACATTTTAGATCACTCCAAAATTCAAATATTTGCGGACAATACACTTTATATATATATATATATATATATATATATATATATATATATATATAAATATATATATAGCACATAAGCATTTGGACACTGCTTTAGAATTGTTAAATAGTGATACTAAAAAAATTATGAATTGGTTAAATGTTAATAAACTTAAATTAAACACTAATAAAACAAATATATGTCAATAGGGAAACATTTACGTGATAAAACAATTAGGCTCATGATTAATGATGAAAAATTGAAGTAGTCGAATCATTTAATATATCTGGGTATATATGTGGATAGTAAACTACTGTTTTACGAGCATAATGAATACATTATTTCAGAAATATTAAAAAAGATAAGTTACTTCTATAATCGTAGTATGTATTCCAAAAAAATTGTGTATAACACTATAATTCGTCCATAAACAATAGTTCCCAGAAGGGGCATTTTTGTTATAAGTGTACTGATATCTCTGAAAAACGTGAAGCAGTATATTTCACATACTTTCTATCCCCTATTTGGGGTAGCTCTGTGTATATCCAATATTTTGTATGCAACGTAAAATCAGTTTTTGAGAAAGTGTTTTATACAGTATGATTATAAAAGTGCAAAAATGTATGGCTCACCCTGAATTACGTCTTTAAACTATCAGAATTTCTATGTGGAACTGATTAAATACGTTTTCTCCAAGCCGAAAAACACCTAAACGTTTTTCTTAGAACTTGTAATTTTTGAGGGTGGACTTTTCTGGGTTGGATTTAATCCCGACGTTACAAATGAGTTATACTCTCTTTAAGCCTCATTCATCAGCTCAGATTTGTCACATCCACGACCTGGTGCTCACCTAATGTAGAGCTGCTATTCGATGTACAGGATGGCCAACTAAAAATGCGAAGTACTGTATCTGGGAACCTATCCATAGTAGAGGCTTGCGGCAAAAAAGTTTTGACCAAAACGGCCAAGAGAAGAACCTGGAAAATATTTTCAAGTTTCTGAAATGGCGGCTATGGGGCGTAACTGAAACCTTGAATCCAATAAAGTTTCTGTGTAAAAAATACCTGATTAAATTCGAGGATAACCTGAACCTTTTTTGTATGACCATTTTTGCTGTATCTCTAAAAATAAAGTGGTGGGGGGGTATTCAAATGTTTCCGTAAAAATACCCTGTATCTTCGAAAAGGCTGAGCCGATTTTAACAAACTAGGGCTAGCCGAAAAGAGCTATTTTTGGACTACAATTGCTATAATATTTGATGTTTTGTTAGTTTCAGATGTGGCCGCTAGAGGGATTTTTTTTCGTCATTCCGACATAAATAGTTAATTTTCGCATAAAAATTGCACCTATATGATTTTTTTATGAAAAAGTAGATAAATGATATCTAAACAAGCTCGCGAAAACTGCATCTCGATATCTTGTCCCTAACCTAAAATTTTGGCAAAGAAAATGTTATATGTACAAAAATCTGTAGATTTTTTCAACTAATTTTTCCGTAATTCTTTTTTATTCATCAGAATAAAATCACCCTTTTTGAAAATATCATAAAATATCACTAAAAGATAAGTAAGCAATGCTAATAACAAAAGGCATATTTTTTGTTTAAATGCATATTCACCTTGGGTTTATAATAGAAACGGGACGTGAAATACAACAAAACAAATACCTAATCACAACATAAATAATCCTCAAATTGTTAATAGCTTCGCGTTACTTTGAGCAATTTTTGTCATTACGAAATGCGTTTTACGAACGGTGAAGCTGTTGATATGCTTGCAGTTTATTTTGAATGTCTTCAGAATGCCGCAGTAGAAAAAGGGTTTACGCGACTCGATATCCAAATCGGCGTCTTTGCCATGCGAGTTTTTCCTCGCTTAGTGGCGAGCTTACTAGCCAATAATAGTTTTCGGCCTACGTTTCAACGGCAAAGAATAGGAAGAACAAGAAAATATTAACCGCGTACTGGGATATATTAAAGGAAATGCTCATGTCAGCACAATCATCCCTTGAGTTGGACATATCACGAACAACAGCTCAAAATATTTTGAGGGATTTATTTAGATTTAACTTTTTTTTTTAATTACTCAAAGTATGCACCCATATCATGTCGTTTTTCATTAGGCCTTGAAAGAGGAAGACTTTGATCGGAGATTGGACTATTGCCATTGGGTGTTAAAGAGAGACAGAGAAAATTTTTATTTCAAATTATTTGGACCGATGAAGCCACCTTTAATAGGGACTGGAGAGTCAATCTGCACAATATGCATTGGTTGCGTGAAGTGCACCAAGCGCGTTGGAGTTTAAATGTGTCGTGTGGCCATATTTTTTCGAGCAATCCCTAAATGGCGATGTCTTTCCTGACTTTTTGGACAATCAATTACCGTTGCTGTTGGAAGATGTGCCACTAGAAAGAAAAACAACAAAACTTGTTTTTACAGTTGGATGGTTGTCCATCACATTTTGCTATTACTGTGCGAGTGCATATTGATGCAGTATCTCAACAGCGGTTGATTGGAAAAGGAAGTCTGTTTCCATGGCCTTCGCGCTCCCCAGACTTAACTTGTCTTGATTTATATTAATGGGGGCGGTTGAAGGACATCGTGTTTCAGACTCAACCTACAACCAGAGTTATGATAAAACGGATTCGTAGTGCAATACGAAACATACCGAGAGTCGAAAATGAACCTGCAGTTTTGTCTACCCAAGAGAGGCTTCTGGAATGCATAGAGTGTGATGGTCAGTATTTCGAGCATTCCCGGGGTCGTTAAAAGCATTTATTTTTAAAATCTGTCCCTTTTAGGGCCACAACTTAAAAATGAAAAGAAATTCCAGAAAAATTAGTTAAAAAAATAAGGGATTTCCGCATAAAATTTTCTTTGGCCTAAAGTTTAGGTTAGGGACAAGATATCGAGATACGGTTTTCGCGGGCTTGTTTAGACATCATTTAGCTACTTTTTCATAAAAAAAATTCATACCAATGCATTTAATTTTTTTGAGAAAATTGACCTGTTCTATCGAATGTCGAAACAGACCCTCTAGCGGCCACATCGGAAACTAACAAAACTTCAAATATTATACATGTATAGCCCAAGAATAGCTATTTTCAACTAGACCAAGTTTGCTAACTACGACTCAGCTGTTTCGAAGATACAGGGTGTTTTTTAAGGAAATATTTGAATAACCCCCACCACTTTACTTTTAGAGATACAGCAAAAATTGTCAAACAAAAAGGTTCAGATTATCCTCGAATTTAAGGATCAGGTATTTTTTTGTTAGGTTTATGTAGCGGAATTCACAGAAACATCACTTTTTTAGATATCAGATTAGATTGGGATTTTTTCCGCAAGCCTCTATGATTGATAGGTTCCCAGATACAGGTACTAAATTTTGCGAAGTAACACCTAGTTTTCTGGATATTGACCAAATTAAGGAAGCAGTATACAAAGAAATTGTGTAATCTATAACGATCTTTTGATGGTACTCACTTCTGAGCAGCTGCTGATGTATCGCCTGTACGGCAGCCGCGCTATGCTGTGCAGCATACTTGTCCATAGTGGGCGGTATCCCTTGGCCGCCTCCGCTGGCCGTTGAGCTGCCAGCGCTATCTCCCCTGCAGAAAAGAGTACTTCGATTAAATTTTAATATCCATGAGAGGGAGGGTATCACGTGATACGTCATCCACAATGTTTTTGATAAAAGTTTTACTAGTTTATCCATAAAAGTTTATGATTGTATTGTTTTCTGATAAGCCATGATGATTTTTAAGTGTTCAACCAATTGTTTCACTACCTTTCTCGAAATGTGACATACTGAGACTTCTCATCGTAAACATCATATAGCAACAATCTCGCTTCCTCCTGAAGATTATAACACATTATCGAAATCTACCCAATCACGTTGCCAGCAATCAGTACTTCGATCCATAGGGAGTCAACTCATATGGGAGGATGGAAAACAGTGCGGTGTTGCCGGACCACAACCTGATAATACCGGTATCCAGAAAAGATTGCGGCTGTGACAAATATGACGGTTTATTGCTGTCATTTATAGTTAACCTCCCTTTTATTTGTATCTGGATGCAGTGTTGCCATTCGTAGCGACTTGTCGCGAAAATAGCGACTTTTTTACTACTTTGAGACGTAGCGGCGATTTTCAAAAACAAACCTGTTTGTAGCGACTTTTTCGACTTATTTTTAGGACAATTTATTTTTAATTATTTAACGATTTAGATATTAATTGAAATTATCGTAATAAGTACATACATTTATTTATATTCAAATTATGTTTAAGGACGAGGCGCTACTGATTGCCAGTATGCCGGTTGTCATGTCTGCTTTATCGGCTCAGCTGGGATTACCACGATACCACGTATTAGCTGTGCTCTGGTACTTCCCAGAAACCTCTTGGTCTTGTCAAACCCTTTTGTTTTAATTCCATAATATTATTGACCTGTGACTTACGTCCAACGTATTTGTTTCTTGGGTAATTGAAATTTATTGTGATTCGGGGAATACAATGGATAGCATAAAAAAATACTTTGGTCTAGCTGAGAATCAACCTTCCACTTTGAAAAGGGGTAAGTTATTTATTTTGCCATCCATCTTTTGATTTTTATTGAATTTATATCTGTTACTTTAAGGTCGCGCTGTATCAGAATCTGAGGAAACTGAAGAATTAAATATCCCACCCGCAAAGGCGACTGAAAAGAAAAATCGCGAAAACAAGGTTTTTCTCTGAAATGGTTGGAAGATCCTCTTTTCTCAGGATGGTTATTCAAATCTAAAGATGGAAAAGCTAAGTGTATATGTTGCAATATTTATTTGTCGACAAAAAAATCGGATTTATTAAAACATGCTAAAACCGGCAAGCATACATTAAATTCCCAGAACGTATCCAATACCAAAACAATAAGTGTTTTGTTTAAACAGCAAAATATTACCAAAGACGTAATGATCGCTGACCTGAGATATTCATTATTAGTTGTGGCACATAATTTTAGTTTTAATTCTGTAAAACATGTCGTAGATATTTCGAAAAGAATATTTAGTGACTCTTCAATGAGTGAAAAAGTTAAATTAAGTAGAACAAAATGTACTTTGTTAAAAATGTTCTTTCACCTGTAATATGTGATGAACTAACATATCAGCTAAAAAATACCTCATTTCAGTTCTAGTAGATGAAAGTACGGATATTTCTAATAACAGGGTAATTTGTATTTCAGTTAGATTTGTAAACCTTAAAAATAATTTAACGACTCAGCTTTTAGACTGCATAAAAATTGATGCGGATGAGGGAACAGCTAAAGGATTGTTTTCATTATTTGAAATTTGTCTTAAGAAGTTTAATTTAAAATTTGAAAATATTGTGGGGTATTGTTCAGATAATGCCAGCATAATGATGGACAATAAAGAATCATTTAAAACATACTCACTTAGTAAAAATGAAAATATTGTTGTAATTGGTTGTGTTTGTCATTTGTAGGTTCTGCAGCATCGGAATGTTTGCCAACTAATATAGAATGTTTTTTGCAAAATATATATATTTTTCTAGAAGCCCAAAGCGTCAATCAATTTTGGAAGAGTTCCAGGCGTTTTTTTAAGAAGGAAAAACACAGAATTTTGAGACCAGCCAAGACTCGATGGCTCTCATTGTCTAAATGTGTAGATAGGGTGCTTGATCAGTGGGAAATTCTAAAAGAATTATCTAAAGTTGCACTAGTCGAAGATAAAAATCCGACTGCAAGTGGAATTTATAATGAATTTTTAAACCCTTTTGTAAAAGCATACTTGGAATTTCTTAATTATATTTTACCCCTATTTAATGCATTCAAGTGTGTCCAGTCTGACAAAGCTTTATTCCTCATTATTACCAAAGAAAGTAAGAGTTTTACCATCAACTGTGTGGAAATTTTGTTTAAGCGGAACTTTTTGTTGATGAATCCCTATTTACATTAAATTTTTTCCATCCCCATTGTTTACTACCATTAGAATAAATTCAGCTTAGGCTTAGCGTGGAGACTTATATATATTTAAAAATTTAGATAAAGGTGACGTTCAACAATTTAAGTTAAAATGCTTGAGTTTTTACCAAAAAGCTGCTACCAACTCAATTAAAAGATTTCCTGTTAAAGATACGTGGATGGAACATCTTGATTTTATAGAACCCAATAACGTTTTGAATTTTAAATTCACGGAAAATTCAATACATATTAAAGTTGTTTTAAAAAAAATTAAATATGCTGATAGTAATTTGGCGTTTTCAGAACTGACTAAAATACAAAATTATTTTTCTTTCGAAGAAAAAGTACAGCTTAAACAAAAATCAGCGGTAGCTTTTTGGGGTGAACTGAAAGAATTACAAAAATTTTACGACCAATATGTTTTTGCAAATATTGGGAAAATTGTTATCAGTATTTTGATAATTCCGCATGGAAATGCTGATGTCGAAAGAACGTTTTCACATATGGCAGATATAAAAACCAAAAAAAGAAATAAATTAAGTGTTGACCTTTTCTGTTGTATTTTAAGGGTAAAATTGGATTTAAAACAAGATAAGAGTTGCTGTTTAACATATAAAATAAATGATAATCATTTGTCAAAAATGAACAATGTTTATCAAAATACAGGCACAACTCTCCAAGAAGATTCTCATTTAAGTGATAGTGAATAGGTTAGCTTAGTCTTTTTTTATTTATAACTTATGTACTTCGTTATGTTTTTTTGAAACTTTAAATTTAAATACAGTTTTATTTGGTTTTATTGGCCGTTTTAGTGCACCTCAATTAAAAGTAGACATTCCTTTGTAGCGACAAAGTAGCGACTTTTCGGATGGCTGGTAGCGATTTTTGGTCTGATCTACCTGGCAACACTGACTGGATGTAAGGATGGCCGGAGGGCCTCGAAGGTAGGTTTTTCGTAAACACAAATTTTATCGAAGTCGCTCTTATTTAAACTACATTTTTTGTTGAATTGATGAACTTTGGAATCTGTAGTATAACACCTAATATGGTGAAATTGTATAAGAGAACAACTCATTATCTTCTAGGTGATTATAATCAACAAACGGAGCACCCTGATCCCTTCAAAAAGGGTTTAGTGATAGAGAGATTCTATATTGGAAGGATGAATTTGTTAGACCACTACGACTATTGAGGATTTACACTTGATTCAACAGTCACATATGTGGAGCGCTATGAAACATTCAAGAAGCAGAGTTGAAGGCACTTCAGTCCACTGCCAACCCATGGTGATCAGAGATAGATACAATATGGATTACTTGCTACTGTTTTCTCTCCAGGGCATATACTCGTACAATTGAGTGCTTCAGGGCCATTGCTAATGTGTTTCACAATCATGGCTAATATAAGTTTATATCAAATCGATAGATTTGTAGAGCTTCTCTGTTAATATTGGTATTCTGTAGTTGATATGAGAAACTCACGACAATTTCCGTAGATTTCAAGTTTGAAAAGAAGCTGATAAAAGTGAATCGAAAAGCAGATATCCTGATAATATCAACATGTTTGAATCCAGCCAGTTTCTACGTGACACAGTGGACAGCAGGGGTCAAGTTGATGTAATGTATGCAGACTTTTCCAAAGCTTTTGACAAGATCAGTCATGAGATTCTCCTCAAGAAACTTTGCTATCTAGGTTTACAAAATAATTATGTCTTATCCGAAGTATTCACTGCGACTGGCTGAGTGCCGCAGAGATCCTATTTTAGATCTTTCTATTCCCACTTTATATCAATGATTTATGTGATTCACTTACTTGCCATAAGCTAATGTTTTCGGATGATTTAAAAATATATACAACAGTATCCAGTGAAGAGGACTGAATTATCTTACTGGAACAAATCACTTTCCTACAGAACTGGTGTGTTAAAAATCACCTGCAAAATAGTAACATTCAGTCGCAAGTCCAAGCTTATATCTTATTCTATTGACAATTCAGCACTAGAAACAACAGTTATTTTGATAATCAGTTGATATTTAATTGCCATGTAAGCCAAACAGCTCCGAGTGCTTGTCGCACATAGGGTTTTATTGTTATCAATCGCAAGAATTTCAGTGACACCTCAGCATTATTGTCTCTGTATTTCAGTCTAGTGAGATCCAAACTGGAATGCGACTCATCTGGAGTCCTATGTATAGCCTGTTCACCGTTGCTATTGAAAAAGCGCAAAAGACATTCATAGGTCTTAAAATCCAAGTCTGTAGTTACGGATTATTTATCAGTCTTTGGAAAAGCGTAGATATCAGTTATTTGTACTTTTCTTGCATAAGCTTTTGAATAGAAAAATAGATTGTCCTGTATTGTCAGCTCAGGTAGATATTCTGGTTCCTAGAATAACATGTAGACAATTTAATACTTTCCTGTGCGAAAGAGCACAATATAATTTACTATCGAAAGCCCCGATTAATTTTATGTGCCAAAATGCCTACAAAATTTTCAAGTAAAGGGTGTCCCAAAATTAACGCAAGATTTGAATTTGCCGCCATTTGTGCAGTGAAGTGTTGGCAACCCTGAAAAAAAGCAATTTGACAGCTAACAGTATAGGGTTATGAAAAATGGAGCGTTACACGATAGAACAACGTGTCTTCATTATTAAAGAATATTTCAAAAATAGTGAAAGCTTGGCGGCTGCAGTTCGAAAATTTCATACAAAATATGGCCGGAATAGTGTTTTAACTTCGTCAACTGTGAAAAGATTAATTGAAAAATTCATGGAGACTGGATCCGTTGGAGACGCCAAACACACTGGTCGTCCAAAAACAAGCCGTTCAAATGTGAATATCGAAGCAGTGCGTGAGAGTGTTGCGGACAATCCAGGAACCTCAATTCGACGTCGTGGACAAGAATTGCAAATGTCAAGAACCTCTCTACAGCGTATACTCACCAAAGATCTGTGTCTTCATGCTTACAAACTTCAATTAACACAACAATTGAAGCTTAATGACCATGCAGAGAGAAGAGAGTTTGTTGAATGGATTATTGAACATCAACAAATGGACCC